ACTCTTAAGCTGTAAGATAATATAAAATGGGCACATGTATTCATTACTTATTTATTTGATTTATCAAGGGTGATTCCTATTTTGCTAGGATGACATACTCAGTATTTTGGTGAATAAGTGTGTTTATATGATGTGACGTTATAAATTATTTACGGTCACTGTGTCCCAGTGCGCTGGTTTGATGACGTCCCCGAAATGAGCTCAGGAATGAATATTATGTCAAGCCCTGCAGGCGGATGTGTTATCCGACATAATGATTAAGGATCTGAGTGGTACTAGTTTCGAAAATGAATAAGAAGTTGATTAATTATTTTGTCAGTAACTTAATTAATCAAAGGACGTTATATCTTAAACATGGGGAGATAAATCGATCAATAGGATTAATATATTTAATCAGTGGAAACGAATTAATTGTAATTCGGAGCTAAATGGAGAGAGAAATAATATTACTCTAGTAGAATGTTTTATTATTTAATTCCAAGATTATTAATTAGGAATTAATTATATTCCATAATTCCCTAAGGATGGAAATATTCCTTCTAGAATATTACCTAGGGTTAGGAGACTATGGAGTCTTCTAGAAGGTAATTAAATATTAGGAATATTATCCTAGATGGGAAAAAGGAGATAGAAGATAATAAGGATTCCTAAACCTTAAGGATTCCTAAAAAAGGAGATGGAAGATAATAAGGATTCCCTACTGTAGCCTATAAATACACTAGGTCCCCTAACCTCTTGAACATGCTTTACACGTTTTTCTCCCCGAAGGGCTGGAAAAATTCGGCCTCTTCAAGCGAGAAAGAAAGAGAGAGATTCTTCTTCGAGAGAAAATTCAGTTAGCATCATAAGGTCTTAGAAGAAGATGATCAAGAGGTTTTGGGATATCTAATAAATCACTCCACCAAGATTTATTAGAGATCGTGTAAAGGTCATACAATAGAAGATCGAAGGTTGTTATTTCGTATCCATCGATTAAATATATTTCACAACTTTCCGTCAAATTCTCCGAGCCCAGGTACTATTCACGCCTTCAGTCCGCGCCCAAGTGTCCAGCTCGCGTTCAGGTTCTTCGGTTTTCGAAGCGAGCCCATGAGGGAAGAGAGCGTGTAGCGCAGTGGTCTTGATTGTGGATTCCGTGCGCGAGGTCACGGGTTCGAAACCCACCACCAACAGTTTTCTCTTTTTTCACCTAGTAGTGAAGAGAAGACGTGCGCGGGCCAAAGCAGCCCGCGCGGCCCGTGAGAAGCCCGCATCTCGGCCCAGCACATCTCACAGCACAACCCGCGAAAAGCCCGACCAAGCCCGCGCGCAATGTCAGCCTCCCAGCCCACTTTCGTTGTCCAACAGCGCGCGTCTACGGCCCACTTTGTTACCTCGCGCGGCCCATTAGCGAGTATGCGGCCCAGCGGCATAGGCAGTGGTCCAGAAGCTCCCAGTTTGGGTCCAGGCATCTCCAGACCGGTCCAGATATTACAGCAGCAGTCCAGTCCGTTCCAGGTGGATCCAGCAACCCCTGTTCGAGTTCGTGATGGTTCCCAAGCAGTCCGACTAACCTATTGAAGATCCGAGATGATCCGATAAGCTTGATGTGCGATTGGAGCACCTTGATGACTCGATTAAAATCGAGAAAGGCCAAGTCCAGCTGCCCATTGGACTTTGGTGTTTAGAAGATCTCCATCAACAAAAATCAGAAATGTCACAGAGTCGGCAAAAAATTTTAAACTGTAAGTCCTAATCCTAACTGTAGATTCCGCTGCGTTAGGATTTATTATTCAATATATTTGAATGTGCACATCGTCGACGTTTCTA